ACACATACACTTATACATAAGACAGAGGGAGATCTTCCATCTGCTGGTTCACTCCCCAAATGCCCACAATAGCCAAGGCTGGCTAGGCTCAAACCAATAGCCTGGAACTCAATCCAGGTCTAACATGTGGATGGCAGGGATCCAAGTATGCTGGAGCCATCACCTGCTGCTTCTCAAGGTGTGCATTAGAGGCTGCTGGAATCAGAGGTGTAGCTAGGACTCGAACCTAGGAATTCCAATATGGAATATGGGTGCCCCAAGTAGCATCTGGTGTCTTAACCATCAGGCCAACACTTTCCCCAAAGATGTTAATTTCTAAGAAGAAAAAAAAAACCTGGCTGGAGGTGGAAATTTGGCACAGCAGTTAAGAGCCTACTTTAGAACCTTGGGGGCCAGCGCTGTGGCATAGCAGTGAAGCCACCGCCTGTGGTGCTGGCACCCCATATGGACTCTGATTCGAATCCCAGCTGCTCCATTTCTGATCCAGCTCTCTGTTATGGCCTGGGATAGCAGTAGAAGATGGCCCAAGTCCTTGGGCCGCTGCACCTACGTGGCAGACCTGGAAGAAGCTCCTGGCTCCTGGCTTTGGATCAGCTCAGCTCTGGCTGTTGCAGTCATCTGGGGAGTGAACCAGCGGATGGAAGACCTCTGTGTGTGTGTGTGTGTGTGTGTGTGTGTATGTCTCTGCCTCTCCTTCTCTCTCTGTGTAACTGAATTTAAAATAAAATAAATAAATATTTAAAAAAAAAGAACCTTAGGATGCCTGCATTCCATATCGTAGTGCCTGGAGTCAAGGCTCTGATTTTAACTTCCTGCTAATATGCAATCTGGAAGGCTCAAATACTTGTGTTCCTGCCACCCTTATGGGAGAAATGGATTGAGATCCAGAGCTCTTGGCTTTGGGCTTGTCCACCTGGTGTTTGCAGGCATTTGGGGAGTGAACCAGAGGATAGATCTCTGTGTATTTCCATCTCCATGACTTTGAAATAAGTAAAAATAAATATATTAAAAGTCTACTGGCATTTTAATAGAGAGAACAGTCACCTTTTAAAAAATTTATTATTTATTTGAAAGTCAGAGTTGCAGAGAGAGGAGAGGCAGAGACAGAGAGAGAGGTCTTCCAGCCGATGGTTCACTCCCCATTTGGCCGTAACGGCCAGAGCTGTGCCTATCCGAAGCCAGGAACTTCTTCCGGGTCTCCCATGCAGGTGCAGGGGCCCAGGCACTTGGGCTATCTTCCACTTTCCCAGGCCATATCAGAGAGCTGTATCAGATGAGGAGCAGCCAGGTCTTGAACCGGCACCCATATGGGATACTGGCGCTTCAGGTCAGGGTGTTAACCCACTGCACCACAGCGCCGGCCCCAAACAGTCATCTTTTAAAAAAATTTTTTTATTTATTTGAAAGGTAGAATGAGAGAGAGAGAGAGAGATCTTCCATGCTGGTTCACTCCCTGAATGTCCACAACAGCCAGGGCTGGGCCAGGATGAAGACAAGAGCCAGGAACTCCATCAAAGTCTCCCACATGGATGGCAGGGACCTGAGTACTTGGGCCTTCATCTCTACTTTTTTTTTTTTTTTTTTTAAGATTTATTTTATTTATTTGAAAGAGTTCCAGAGAGAAGTAAAGACAGAGAGAGAGGTCTTCTCTCCGCTGGTTCACTCCCTAGATAGCTGCAACAGCCGGAGCTGCGCCGATCTGAAGCCAGGAGCCAGAAGCCTCTTCCAGGTCTCCCACACGGGTGCAGGGGCCCAAGGACTTGGGCCCAGGCCATAGCAGAGAGCTGGATCAGAAGAGGAGCAGCCAGGACTTGAGCCGGCACCCATATGGGATGCCGGTGCCTCAGGCCAGGGCTTTAACCCACTGTGCCACAGCCGGCCCCTACTCTGCTTTCTAAGATGCATCAGCACAAGGGATCATTTATCCTCTTGTACCACAGAACTGGCCCCAAGAACAGTTATCTTAACAAGAAGCATTCCTCCATGAATGTGGAATGTTTATTTATCTAGCTCTTTGATTTCTCTCAGCAATGTTTTGTAGTTTTCAGTATATAAGTTGGCAATACTTTCATTATTCATTTTTACGCTCTTGTGAATGGAATTTTCTTATTTTCAGACTGTTCGCAAATAGTATATATAAATAAAATTGGTTTCTGAATTGAAATATCCTATTACCTTGCTAGAATGATTATAAGAATCCATTTTCTCATGTGTAAAATGGGGGATAGTTACCCAACAAGGTTTTTGTGTGGAATAATATAACTAAAATATTATCAAAAGGCTAGAAATGAAGTCTCTTCCCACCAACACATTTCAATTGCCTAAAATTTGAGACTGCATTTTTTTTTTTGACAGGCAGAGTTAGTCAGTGAGAGAGAAAGACAGAGAGAAAGGTCTTCCTTCTGTTGGTTCACCCCTAAATGGCCGCCATGGCCGGTGCGCTGCGCTGATCCGAAGCCAGGAGCCAGGTGCTTCCTCCTGGTCTCCCATGCGGGTGCAGGGCCCAAGCATTTGGGCCATCCTCCACTGCCTTCCTGGGCCACAGCAGAGAGCTGGACTGGAAGAGGAGCAATCAGGACAGAATCCAGCATCCCGACCGGGACTAGAACCCAGGGTGCTGGTGCCACAGGTGGAGGATTAGCCTAGTGAGCCGCGCAAGGACTGTGAAATGACCTGGTATTGAAGGATGGGGCTACACACCAATAGCGGTACATCTAAACCTCCATGGCCGAGGGGTTTTGGCTGCATTAGTGCACTGAGACAATGTCAATATTTTGTATCATGGCCCTGTATTGGTTTTACAACAGAAAAAAGCTACAAATGTCTTTAAAAATAAAATTAGCAATCCATTTAATTCCATAAAGAGGAAGAACACAGAGATGCTTGATTTTACTTTGGTAAGACCAAGTAAGGGGCTGGTGTCGTGGTGGGTAGCCTGAGTGCAGTTGGTGTCCCGGCTGCTCCACTTCTGATCAGAATCCCTGCTATGGCCTGGGAAGATCAACAGAAGATGGTCCAAGTGCTTGGGCCCCTGCCACCCATCCAGGCAGACCTGTATGAAACTCTTGGCTCTGGCCTGCCCCAACTCTGGCTGTTACAGCCATCTGTGAGTGAACCAGTGGATGGAAGATTTCTCTGTCTCTCCCTCTCTGTAACTCTTTCGAATAAATAAATGAGTCTTAAAAAAAAAAAAAAAAACTTAAACTAAATATACTTACAGGAAAACAGCACTGTGCTAGGCCCTGGGACCACAAAAGAAAGATACAGACTTTCACTAAAGGAATTTATGCATCAATGCACTGTGGGGAGCCAGTGTTATGCTGCTACCTATGATGCTGACATCCTGTATCATCCAGCTCCCTGCTAATGTGCCTGGGAAAGCAGCAGCAGATGGTCCAAAAAGTACTTGAGCCCCTGCCATCCATGTGGGAGACCTGGATGGAGTTCCTGTCTCCTGGATTCACCTTAGGCCAGACCTGGTTGTTGTGGACATTAGGGGAGTGAGCCCAGAGGAAGGGAAGATCTTTCTCCTTCTCTGCCACTCTGCCTTTTGAATAAATACATGAATTTTTTTAAAAAACGCACTATGGAGTAGGCTGAGGTACCTCAAGGACTGCAAGGCAGGTGAAGAGAAAAGATATTCCCTGAAGGCCCTATAGCCATCCCAACCTAACTACTGCAACTATGGCAGCTTTACTTATTTATTTTTAATCAATTTTATGTGTTGGGGTTCCAAATAAAATTAAATATGAACAAAACACTCAATGCCTTTAGAAGTGTTGAAAACCACTGGCCAATTAAAAGAACAAGGTGAAAACTGATAGGCAGCTGCTACTACTATTGCTAAAATAATTGGGGGGAGGCGTGTGATCCAATTCTAGTTGTTGGATGTGTAGACATGTGGAAGTCACAATTTTAGCTCTCATCTCTCAAAAATGATGCAATGCTTTCTATGAGTTTTAACGTCATTCATTCAATAAATATTTGTTGTGTGTAATAAACACAATGATGTTATTCACAACTCCATGGGAAAGCAATAGCAAAGGCAGGGGTAAAGAACATCTTGGGGTACCAGCAAAGGAGTTAGAGATGGGACAAGCTTAGCATATGAGTATTAGTTTGACAACTGGTTAAAAAGAGAGAAAGTAGGGACATTATAGGTGGGGAGACCCACAGGTTCAAAAGTACAGGATTAATAATAAATGGCTACCCCTGAATGAACGTGTCCTCTAGGCACAGAATTCTATCCTCACAACAACCCACAGACGTATTACTACCATGCACAGACCAGGTTTTGTCCAACAAGACTCGTGAATGGCCGGGCCAGATCTGAAACTGGGGTTGTCTGATTTCAGAGCCCAGGTTCTGGGTTCGATCAGGCACGCGTAGTGAAGAGGGGTGAAGCAACCGGCGGCTACTGGAGGAGGAAGTGGTGGGCGACAAGGCTGCGAATGCAGGCACCTAGTCGACTGTAGACGACTCGGGAAGGCTGTGGAGGTAGCAAATGCATGAGCTCCAAGAAGTGTGGGTATATCCATCCCAGCTCGGGGCACTGAATGGGTCCAGCGGCAACGACGCACTAATTAAGCCATATTCAAGGGAGTTCACAAGGACCTCCGGGTTTGCTTCCAGCCGCCCCGGCTGGCCCCTCCGTCACCCTCCACGGCCTCCTCGTGGAGATGTCTTCCACGCGGTGTCTTCCACCTTTCTGCGTCCTCCAGAGTCCGTTAAACAGCGCCCTTGATCCATGCCACACCTTAGGGAGAAAGCCGCAGCTTCCGCGACTTCCGCCGCCATTAACTCCCCACGAAACACCGAACACCAGACGCAGCTTGAGAAAGACCTGCCTGCTCCGCATCCGTGACAGCGGAGCCCTAGCCAGGCCCTCGGGCGGGGCCCCGGCGCTTCTCTGTTTATGATTGGTGCACACAGCTGCCATTCGCGGCCTTCTACGTTCCGTCCCACCCCTTCCGCGCAGGCGGTCAGCTAAATGACGGGCGGGACCGGCGGAGACTTCCGGTTGGGGGAAGAAAGTTGGGGCGAAGGAGGGGCAGTGAAGGAGGAGGAAGAGGCAAGAGCAGGGCGGTGGCGGCTGTAGGTTGTGCGACGGCGGCTCTCCTCCGGACGGACGATGGACAGTCAGGGCAGGAAGGTGGTGGTGTGCGACAACGGCACCGGGGTAAGCGCCTGGACGGGAGGCCGCGGCGGCCACAGGCCTGGGCGGGGATGTTCAGGCGTCGCGAGGCCCTCGGCGCGGCACCTCTGGGCCCTCGCGGCTAAGGGGAACGGGGCGGCACTCCCCGCTCGTGCGGGTGTCGGGAGCGAGCGGGTGGGGCGCTGGTTTCTCCAGAACCTTCCCTCCCGGTAGCCCTGCGGGTCTGGGCGGTGGGCGAGCCCGGGGCGGGACGCCGGTCCCACCTGCCGCCCGCGGGGGCCGGCTTCGTGCACAGAGAGGGGTGGGGTTTGCAATTTGGCTCGAGTGCGGAAGGGGTTAGAGGCTGGGTTCGTGTTTTGGGAGAGGGGCTGCAGCCCCAGGGTCGCGGGTGTGTAGAATGGAGAAACACCTAGAGGCCTTCCTCTTCCTGTCTAGTTGAAGATGCGGAACGCGAGGCAGGAAGTGGGCTCACTGAAGAAAAGGGAAGTGCTGTCATTCAGGGGGCTACGGCCCTTTCTCAGTGTTGCTGCATTTTGTTGATTTGCTTTGGTTTGTTGGTTTGCTTTGGTGTTATCCCTCTTTCTTCTCGGAGCGAGGAGGCGGCTAGACCAACAGCACAGCGTTTGCCCTGTGTTCTCCATGCTGGTAGTTTGGCTCAGGTGCAGCCCTGCAGAGACCAGCGTGTTCCGTTGGATGACTTTGGGGGATCTGGGACCGGCGAGCCCAAGTGTTAATCCCATTGACCTGGGGGAAGTTCAGTCCCCGCCCCCATTTTCCTCCATTAGGTTCAGAATACAGATGATGGTAGTTTTCAAATACCGTAAAAACGTAAAGCACTGATTTAGAAACCATTTGAAAGTTGCTTTAAAAACGTTTAAAAGATGCATTTTGGGTAGCAAAGTCGGCAAATGAGATGCTTACTTATTTTTATGAGTTCTGTGGTGATTGCCGAAACTATTTTTGTGTTGCAACATTTTGTGACTTTTCTCTCCTCCCTTGCGTAAATGCGACATATGACTTAAAATAGATTTTACTTGAACTTTAAAATACTTTGGAAACGGGGGAAAAAAAAAAAGCTGGTATGCATTGAGGTAACTGCCACTGCCCTGCACTGAATTTATTAGATTTTTTACAAGCAGTAATTATACTGGCTTCATCTGAGTATTTAGTACTACAGTAAGAATGTTACAATGGCGTGTCCATAGAAAACACTTTAAAAAAGGAGGCAGATGCACTGCTATGGAGATGTATCTAAAGACAGACTTACTGTTAAATTACAGACAAGTTTATGATTCCACTTACGTGAGTGTTCTTCATTAAAAATACTTACCTGTCCACAAACTTCTGCCTGTGTGTTGAAGTTTTGGTGGGAGACATAAGAAATGGTGCCTGTGAGACAAGGAATAAGGGAGTGAAGAAAGACAGGGAAAACTTCACAACCCTTCTGAATTACTGGGAAAATGTTTTCTTAAAGCAGATGTTGCTAAACTATATTTAAATGAAGTCAACTATAAACATGTTATTTTTACAATTAATACTCAGTTAAAGATGCTTTTAGAAAAATATTAGCTTGATTTCCATTTTAATCTCAAGTTCTAAGAAAATTTAAAAATTTAAAGCTTTAAAAATTAAATTTAAAATACTTTGTTTTGTGACTGTCAAATACTTTTAGAAACTCTATCCAATAATATTTATATGGATTCCTCTGAGTGGCTCTAGATAAAGAATCCTTTATGTATTTATAGAATATGGGAGCTTTTGATGTTAGAATGGGAATGTTAGCCATAGCTAATTTTTATGTTACTATTTTGTTTAGCTCACATTAAAAAGCTGATTGTGTATATTGTCAGTTAGTCTTGTATCTAGTTCATAGTTTAAAAATCCTATTCCTTAACACAAAAGATGAGTTATTGCACAAATGAAAAAAATATAGTTAATCCAAATAAAAACTGATGTGTTTGGTGTTATGCTTCTGATTAAAGTTTTGTCTAGGTTTTTTTTATAGATATGATTGATTTCAAAGAAGAAACAGTTTTGATAAAATATGTCAGAGGTGCATTTGGTACCTTGTTCAGGCCACTGCCTGGGTTGCCTGCATCTCACATCTTAGTGCCTTGGTTCAAGTCCTAGCTCTACTGCTGATACCAATTCCTGTTGGTACACACCCTGGGAGGCAGCAAGCAGGTGATCACCCAGGTAATTGGGTCCCTGCCATCCATGTTGGAGACCTGGAGGGGTTCCCAGCTCCTGGCTTCCATCCGGCTGAGACCCAGCTGTTGGGGGCATTTGGGAAGTGAACTAGTGAAGTTTTCTCTATCTGCCTTTCAAATATATAAACTTTTTTTTTTTTTAACAAAGTGAACCATATGACAGGAATGCTGTGATGTTTCTGAAAATTTACACATCTGGAAACCTCTTAGATTGTATGTGTGTGTGTGTTTACTACTTCTAGACATGAAGAGTTGCCTTGATTTTATTTAGGTATCTGAAGTTATAATTATTCTTCTAAAATTAAATGTTAAAGAAGATACGGAGGCCGGCACTGTGGTATAGTGGGTAAAGCCATTGCCTGCCGTGCTGGCATCCCATATGGGCACTCGTTCGAGTCCCAGCTGCTCCACTTCTGACCCAGCTCTCTGCTATGACCTGGGAAAGCAGTAGAGGATGGCCCGAGTCCTTGGCCCCTGCACCTACATGGGAGACCCGGAAGAAGCTCCTGCTTTCAGATTGTAGCAGCTCCGGCTGTTGCAGCCAACTGGGAAGTGAACCAGCAGATAGATGGAAGATTCTCTCTCTCTCTCTCTGCCTCTCCTTTCTGTGTGTAACTTTGACTTTCAAATAAATAAATATATTTTTTTAAAAAGATGCTCACATTTCATTTTTAAAAATTTGTGGAGTTGTTACCCTAGTGTTTTTATTTGTTCCTGACACATTTTAGGGTCAAAAATTATAGGCCATTTGAGAAGTTGATGGGGTTTTGTTTTGTTTTTTAAGCCTTCTCACAGGCCCAAAACTGAGTGCTCACATGTCAGATGTAGGGCCTGCTGCATTTCTTCACTATCATAGCGAGGCCAGTACCTCATTAGGGTGGCCTAGTAGAGAAAACTCATCCACTTTTAATAATTAATGCATTTCATCCACCTAACCACTCAGACCTACTAAAATAGAGCCACTGAAAGTGGCCAAATAGATGAAAATATGGAGATCTGTGAAGCCCTAGGGTTATGTCCTTTTCAAGAGTTGGACCCAGGCCCCTGGTGTTGTCTCCTGTTACCGAACTCAGGCAATTTAATCAAATGTGAATTAGTTGACCAACAAACATGACTTCCCTAGCTAGTGCCTAGTGCTTCACTGGGACAGTGCTGGTTAAGATACCTTATAGTGCTAGAATAATTATATTTCCTTTCATAATTCACATTTGTTGCTGGTTTTTATGTTTGAAGATTTTAATAGTATGCAATTAAATTAATACATCACTAGCATCAGATAAAATCAGTAAAATACAAATTTAATTAAGCCTAACTGGGGCTGAATAAATCCCAGTTTACTTTTTGAAGGGAAACAGTACTTACAGAGTAGATGTGGGAAGGCCCTTCATTTTTGCTTGCAAGAACATTGTGCTGTTCATACTCTTACCGTTTGATGACTCAGTGGGAAGTAAGAGAGCCAGTTCAAACCACAGTGCTATGAAGAGGAAACTATATATGGTAAAATCTATTTCTTAAACACAGCCTTACTGTACACAATAAGAGAACTAAATCACCAAGTCTTAAAATGATTCGCATGGGGGAGGAATTTCAAGGATAAAATACCTAATGAGTCGTCTTAGGATATTTTCTTCATATTTATCACATTATGATGTATAGATTTTTTTTAAGTATAGATTTTTTTTTGCAGGAAAGAGATGGTCTATTGTAGACCATTGAACATGGATTATCTTTTATTATAACAATCAGTGCTTTTACATTTGAAATAATGTGAAATAGTGCCGTTTTTGCTGTTTCAATAAAAATATCTAGTACCTTGTAGGAATGCTATCACTGGATTCTCTGACATCTTTTGCTTCCCGTAAGCTGCTTAGGCAGAATAAATAGTTTATTTATATGTGTTTGATATCTTTAGTTTGAATTAAAAGCCAAATTTTCTTTTTTTTTCTTTTTTTAAGATTCATTTATTTATTTAAAAGGCAGAGTGAGGGAGGGAGAGGCAGATCTGCCGCCAACTGATTTACTCCCTGAATGCCCACAATAGCGGGGCTGGGCCAGGCTGAAGACAGAAGCCAGGAACTCCATCTGGTTCTCCAGCATAGGTGACAAGGTCTCAAGGACTTTGACCATCTTCCACTGCTTTCCTAGGCACCTTAGCAGGGAGCTGGACTGGAAGCAGAGCAGCTGGGACTAACTAGTACTCGGATATGGGATGCCTGTGTCGCAAGTAGTGGATTAACCTGCTATGCCAGAACACCAGCCCCAAATTTTCATTTTTTCCATGAAGCAGTAGCAGTGAGTTCACAACTGTTACCATTTCAGGGATCTCAGTCTTCAACTTCAGAGGCACTTGGCAAATGTTATGTCACTTGAACTATAGTCAAACATGAATTTTAATGAACTGTCCATCTGAACAATTATAGTAAGAAAACATTGAGGGATGTGATTTTTTACTGCTTTGCTGTGTTGTATGTTGCCGGAGTATCTGACTGAGGTGAGTGTAAAAGGACAGATGTAGCAACCTTAATGGCCTCCTCCCTACACCAGGGTTTGACTGGGTCCTAGGCGCCTCCTCCAATCTTCAACTTCTATTAAGATGGCTCATTTCATAAAATCGTTAAGTTTACAGTTAGTATGCTGAAAATGGTTCGTACAGACTTGCAGCTTCTCTGTTCGTTCTATAAGTTTTAAAAAGATTTACTTATCTATTTGAAAGGAAGAATGTCACAGACTGAGACAGAAAAAGATTGAGATCTAGCCTCTGGTTCACTCTCCAAATGCTTTTTTTTATTTATTTATTTTTTTAATTTTTTTTTT